CAAAAGTGAGAAATAGAGAATTTAGAAAGAATGATTATAATACATCTAAACATTAAATAATATATGTTTAGAAAGATGCGATTCAGTTGTTTGGTATAACAAAAAGAGATGGTTAGAATACCCTACATTCATTTTAGGACACAAAAGATGCTTTTACATTTAGGGTGAGAATTACTAAATTATCCCTTAGATCCATATGTACAATAATGCACTTTTTGAGATCTTTACTTAATAATCTAAGAGAACATTTCCCCTTCCATATTGTATTGTTTCTACCTAAATAATAATTCTATGCAGGTGAAAAGGATTGCAGTTAAATTAAATATAGAATAAAAGAAAGACCATAACTGATCACTAGAATAACTACATTGTGCTCTATTGAACAAACAACAATATATCATTATAATACAAAAATTTATAAGACAAGTCAGTGTTTAAATGGGCATTGTAGGGTATATCCTCATCATTCTAAATATTTGAAATACAAAAAACGTCTATAATTGCACTGCTTGAAAAATATCTCTTGCATATCCTTTAACATTTTCATATGTTTAAAACATGTTTTTAAGTATTTCAGTCTCATTGGCTTTGGGCCCAATTCCAATTCATCACATTAAGAATGGTGGCAATTATATTCTGAGGAAGAGGTAGCAAAAAAAAAAAAAAAAGTAAAAGGACAGAAAACTAGATTACTATACAGATGCTCTTATATAGTTTGATGCAGATGTAACTTTCCTATTGAGGCTAATAAAAAAAAAAAACCTCTAAAATATATTCAAGATAAGTAATAAACCAAGTTACAAATTTATGGACATGTGAGCATGCATACACACGTACAGACACACACACGCACGCGTGCGCACACACACACGCACACACTCCTACATCTATCTTTCTGAATATTTCTCATTCTGGACTCAAACTTTTTGAGAAAAAACAGAATAAAGGCAGTACTAGAAAACTATATGCTCCAGCGTTTCATCGTCCTTTACATTCAATTCATCTCTCCAATAAAATGCTTAGTGCTGATAACATAGTCATCATTTAAAACTAAATTCCCCACGGAGTACGTAAGATGTTAACAAAATCTTCATCATCTGCTATCTCAATACTTAAACCTTCATAGTAATCTTCAAATTCACCATATGACACTTCATCAGACTTGCTGCAGGTATCTTTTAATGTTTCTAGAAATGATGATTTGATTTCTTCTTCTGTGGAATGGCCTGTAAAATAGTACTATGATACAGTTTCCTTAAAAGTTCAGTAAAATGAGTGATGATAATAAAAGAATCGTCTAATGAAATCTTTTCAACAGTTTGAAATCTTATGTCAAACTACTCTTCGACTTATTTAAACATTAACTAGAATTAATTCATCTCATTAATTTGCCACTCCTTCCCTGCCTCTCTCTCTCTCTTGCACTGATCCATCCGCAGGATCCTAGCATAGAACACATTTTTTTAAATCATAAATTTCTTAGTAAGAGAAATTAAAAGATTAAAGGAAGCTAAAGTTGATCCGATAATATTCAAAATAAAGAAAGGCTGTATAATAGCAGAATAGGGGTCAAAAAACCCATGTGACCCTCTAAAACATTTAAAAATCAGCTGTCATTTTAAATAACAGGCTTAAATGGGAATACCATTCTAATCATTTGTCTAATAGGATGGACAAAATTGGAGTAAGAGTTGGATTTTTTTTTTCCATAAACCAGAGGTTCTCTAGTAGATTTAGATAATAATACATTGTAAAGTGCCTTTCAAACTACAGGAATGAAATCTACTTTGGGTATCAAAAAGTTTGCTGTCTTTTAAAAACATATAAGAAGTAGAGGACGAAATGTTCAATGAAAAACATGTTAAATGAAAAAGGACTGAATAATTGTGCTATGTAGAGATGTTAATATAAAACAATAAAATGAATTTGTAATTGAATGTCAGTCAAGTCTAAATATTAATCAAGATTTAATGTATATAAAAACATAAATTTTGTCAGGAGAAATTTCCCTCTCTGTTTACCATCTATACCTTGGAACACATGAGTTTTAACACACTTTTTTCTAAGAAAAGCATTTTTGATTTAAATTTATATTTCAAATAGTCAAGAATTTCATACTTCCTTTAAATACTCCACACCCCTTGAAAAATACATACCCAGGAAATACCTACCTTCCATCATTTGTAACTAAATTTCTTTTGCTCCTCTTAAAGACCAGAAAATATTTATAACAATAAACACTGTATTTCTAATACTATTTCACAGAAATATATTTGGGCTATCCCATTTCTATT